AACCTGAACTTGTTGAGTAATTTTGGACAAGGAATCATCAAGCTTTAATCAAGGATTCATCAAGGTATGTTTGTGTTTTAGTTTGGTTAAGATTAAAGCTTGTTTTGGTTGAATGTTTGGATTATTTTTGAAGGCAAACTTGTTGCCATATTTCGGTCAAAATGAATGTGCATTAGGGGAGGATAAAAGCCTCAAAAATGAGTTAGAATTATCATGTTTAATTGGTATTTGGATTGATTTTTGGAAGAAAATCAAAGTAGGGTCCATTATGCTATAATTTGGCCAAGAAGAAATCTTGATGTAGGAGTTGGTTTTGATGTGTTTTGATGATTCCAATGGGTTTAAAATGTGTTTTTGTGTAGGGATATGCTAAAGGGAAGTGTATAAAATCATTAGAATCAAAAATAGAATTTTTTAAAAGTATATACCCCTATTCAACCAAGACTGAATAAAAAGGAAGGAGTTTAATTTTCATAAATCTGAATTAATATTTGAATTATACATGAAAAATTGTGTAGGAATCAACCAATAGATTATTGATTCCAAAGGAGGAACAATTTTGTTAAAAATCAAAGAAAAAGGAGAGAATTAAGTAGGTTAAGGTTAAAGTATTGTGTTTAAGTTGTATGATTGTTAATGTGGTTTGCAATTATACTTGAATTGATAGGTTTTGTGGAGAGGAATCAAGGAGAACCCAAATTCCTTGAAGAGGCCAAATTGGTTTAAGTTTAAAAGGTAGCATTGAATTGTAATTTGATTGCTTATCTTGCTTGTGTAATGTGCTTATGTTGATTACTTGAATTGAGAAATTTATTTTATGAAAATTGTTGATTTTATGACATTTGATGTGCTTGGGCCAAATGCATGGAAGTATGTTGATGTGAAAGTGTGAGTGTTTCCTCTCTTGATATGATGCATAAAATGATTTTATATGATTCGAGGATGTCTTGAAGTTTTATGACACATCACATTATGCATTGCTTGATCAACATGATGATTATAATTCATTGCTATTGAGATTTTCATGAAATCTCATCCCTTCCTATGTTAAAATATGCATTAATAGGGAGTGGACCAACTATGGACAAGGGCAAAGAGATAATATTGGGCTAAGGAGGCCACATGACCTTGATGATATTGTGTGAAGCTTTTGTTGTATTTTGATAAACTTTGATATAAGTTTGTAATGAATTGTGGGTATGAAATACTTTGATATTATGAAAATTATAATGTTGAATAGATGTTTATAATCTTGGTTTTGGTATGTTTGGATGGTATGGTAAATGGAAAGAGGAAAGAGATTCAAGATAATTGGATTAGGGAATAAAGATGCCCTTGTGGCACATAAAATAATGGGAAAATGGATGAATTTGGACCTGATATTTTACCAACACATAGAAATCATTTTTATCTTTAAAACAAGTGGTAAAACATCAAATTTGGAGTTTTGTGCTAAGAGTTATGCCCTTCCAAAGTTGGGCTAAAATACTAGAAATTCAAAATTTGACCATATGAACAGTGTAACTTGACAAATTTTCTGGTATTGTTTCGGATGAATTCAAGGCCAATGACTATTTTTCTCTTAAAGAACTCATGGCAAGCTTCAAATAAAAATTAGAACCACTCAGTTTCAATTTTTTGACATTTAATTATGAATTTTCAAAGTTAGCCCAAATTGCTGTGAATAGTGTACGGAAATCTGAAAATAAAAATCTTAAAGTTGAAATTTTTCTACCCTTACGCTTTGGGAAATGACTCTAAACGGTTCCAATTGTTATATAATGGGATAATAAAGGAGGTGTGACACATCATACATCAACATAATGGAATTGATAACATGTCATAATACATTTCTTAATCTCTTCTCTTCATTCTTCAATTCCACATCTTGCATTTCTTTTCCTTGCTTATAGAACCTATTATGGATGGTTAAGGGAGGATGAGATTCAGGAGAATCTTAGTAGCAAACAAACTAGTACACATGTAAGATGAATGCAAGTGTATGATATGCTAACGTTATCTATCACAAGCTTAGCTATTAACATGCTTTTATTCTCAATGTTTTATACTTTCATACCTGGCCATGGAACTACTGAAACAAAACATTGTTCATTTACATTTATCTCATTTCATCACCAATTAACATCATAGACATCAACGCACAAGCATACACATCAAGCACAAAATAAAGATAAGTTTAATACCTTAGAACTCTTTGCTTTTCCTCTTGCTCTCTTTTTCTTCCAACTATCAAGGTTGCTTGATCAACCTTTCTATTTCTCTTCCTTGATGTCACATGGCTCTAATCACTTTAACATATCATTTTCATTCATTCATTAGAGCCATGGTAGCAAACAAACATTCATACGTAGCTCCCTTAAATATATTTTAGCCCTTTAATCTTAACTTTTGAGCTTTAATTCCAATCTTTCTAAAATTAATTTTATATACTAGTCTCACATAATTTTGCATATAGAATCTATTTCTAAGCTTAAATTCAACAAAATCCAAATCTTTTCCCATGAACAAGCCTTGGCTGAACACTAGTGTCTTAGGGTTTAAAGTTTTCATTTTCAGTCTCAATACTTCCAAACTTACTTTCTCGCCAAAGAAAAATTTGGATATAATTATACCCTTGGCTATTCCTCTACCTATTTCACAATTTTATACCATATTGGGTGCTTTTCTGTGTTTTGACTTTACCCGGTATTACTGGCACATGTTTTGGCATTCTTTTCTCATCATAAATAACTCCATATGATATAATAATACCAAACATTAGGCAAGAGGAGCCTTTAGGGTTCCTATCCCTTAAAAGAAACACCAAATTATTTTATTCCATTATAACTTTGACCAAATAATTTTGATGTTTCTTTGCTTCAAAAATTTATTCCTCTACTTCATTAACTTCCTTTCATTGAGAGAAATTTCGATAATTTTTTTCATGCCAAAGCCTAACCTGCAAATACCCTTTTTATAGACTTCTCAAACACCCCCTATTTCTGTAAATTTTGGCTTTAAATTTCTTTAAAGAAAATCTCTGTACTTTCAAGGGGCAAAGATAATTTTACAATTTGTCATAATCTGCAAACTATTTTTCTCTCATTTTTGTCTGATTATTTGAGGCCTCCTCATATTTTAAATAATTAATTTTTACTAATTTTCCCATAATTAGCCAAAATTTTCATAATTAGCCAATTTACAAAAAAAAATCATTCTAGGGACATTTTAAAACTTAAATCGCCTTAACAACTCATTTTCCATTTTTTAGGATTTTCTTGGAATTTTTGGGCATACTTTCTATTGTTACTGAAACATGTTTACTTTAACCCCTCAAAGTACATATTTGGAAGCGTTACACAAGGCTATAGATTGAAAATTTGTAATTGGTTCTCCGGTTACTGTTTACTCGTTAAATTCCAGATTTTTGGTCTAACTTTGAAAAATCATAACTAATTCTAGAAAAATTATATTAAGGTAGTTCAAAATTATATAGAAGTAAATAAAGTAAATAGGTGCTGGAAAAGAGGAGGAAGAGACACATAAAGTAAATAAAGAGACTTGATTCTATTCTTGCAGAGGTTGAAGCAAGTTCCTTTGCTCCTACGTATTTGGTGTTCAAGGTGATGCTATGATTATATAGAAGTCTTTAACCTGAAATGAAACTTTGAATATACTTTTCGTCGTGATATTTGCAGTCATCACTGGAATGGAACAGCCTGATTACAACTTAGAGTACAATTATTTTCTTTTCTTTCTCTTTTTGTCTGCGTGGACTCAAATTGAAGCCCGCCAATTAGAGAGTGATTTAAGCTACACAAAGCTTGCCACTAAATGCAAGAGATTATCTATCCTGTTCACGTCACTTGTTTTGCCCTCTGACAGTGCCCAACAAAAAAAAAAACACATGAATTCTCTGGCATTAAATAGAGGAGGTATTTGGATTAGTTTATTTTAAGTTATTTTATATGTTCAACAAGGTAAAAATATGTAAAGAGTTTTAACTCATAAAACATAAAAATGCTTTTTTTTTGGGCGTTTTCAAACACCCACTAAAAAGTACATATTGCCATGGTTTTAACCGTGATAATGTCACATGACCATGGTTAAATTTAACAGTCGCAAAAACATGGAAATTTCAAGTGTTGGAATGTGTCTTATTGCCATGGATTTAATATCAAGAGGAAAATTCTTAATTAGCTCTTATATTTAGAATTAAGAGATAATTTATTTTAAAAGTTAAAGGTGCATCTAGCACCCCAAACTATTTTTAGAGGTACAATAAGTAACCTAAAGTATTTAAGAGTGCAATTTTACCCCTCTACTATCTAAATTGATGCAAGTTCACCCTTTAACAAACAGATGTGTTAACTGCTGTTTTCCCATTTCCATGAAAACATTAAAAATGCCGCCTGTATTAAAAAAAAACTTCCGCCGAAGCTTCTTCCCCCAATTCTTAGGTTTTGTGTTCAAAGACTGTGAGACTTGGAGAGCTCGGCGACAAAAACGGTGATGTGCAGCTGATATCTAAAATTCAATCATGAAATCCACTTTCTTCGGTGTGCATTTTCTTTATTTTTTTTCCTGCAATTACAAGTCTTTCTTTACGATGGTGCGCCATTTCTACATTAATTCAAAGCTTCACCCTCTCACTCCATCTCTACCTCACTACTGCAATCACTTCCCCGAATGAAACCCACCTACAAATCTACCAACCATCCAACTCCAAACCCCACAAATTAATCAAAGATTCCATCTTTTCCTCACATGCACACCATCATCTTTATCGATGCGTTTTCCTCTGTTACCTCGTCTCGTCTTCTTCACTCACACACGGACACGGGTTTCAACTTCACAATCCCTAAATTTTTTATTTATTCAGAATGAAATGCTTTTTGTTTTTTTTTTCTCTTTGTAAAAAAACAGGTGGCATCGTTAAATACTTACATGGCGTTTTTAATGCATACATAGAAATGGGAAAATAGCAGTTAACATATCTGTTACTCTAAAGGTGAAGTTGCACCAATTCTCCCTGCTTCCTTGACTGCAATTGCAGTTATCATGGAGAAAAGGAAAAACAAATATTATTGGAAAAATTTAAAACTAAAATAGTATATAACTATATATTGATTTAACGTGAATGAGAAGGTACCAAGCTCTGAATTTGCAAGACGGATGTAGAGATTAACTCCTCCTAAGGGAAATCTTTGCATGTCAATTAATCTATCACTCCATGACAAGCACTGTATGTAAGGATCATATGCATATCCTAAGCATGAACAATTCTCCAAACACCGTGTTCTGCAATTTGCTTCCTCAAGATCTGATCTCTTTGCAAAATCTGGCACTTTCATATTCTGTAGCTTTAAGAAGCCATCTCCTTTGCATTGTAATGGCGTCTTTCTCACACACCCATTTGTCCAACTATTTGTGTTCCATTCCTTTGGCTTCTTTGGCTCAAACCCACTAAAACAGCTACAAATGGTTGAATTCTGACGATTACAGATTCCAAAGTTCATACAATAACCATAGACATCACATTTAGAGTCTTGAAATATCCATGGCCCATACTCTGTCTTGTTAACCCACCCAACTATTTTCAATTTTCCATCTGAATTCAGCTTCAGGCGACCAAAGTACGATTGGTCTCCTTTATCATAAGTTATATAACTTGTACCATCATCTTCTTTTCCTAGATAGAATCCTGTGAGATACCGAGTATTCATCTGATATATTCCCAGAAATACCCTACCGTTCCATGGGCTGGATCTCCAATATGCCTTAGAGCCGTTAAAGACCATAGCTTCAGGAACATCCGGGCGTTCAATACTTGCAGAGAAGCTTCCAATGGCGGGATTAGAAGGAGATTTCCATAAGTAAGCTTTACTCTTTCACCTGTTTCTGGGTTTGTTTGAAGTTTCATCTTTGGCAAAAATGTATCAGAGGGATTTTGAAAGCTCTCCCATAGTGTATCTCCAGTAGTGTTATCTTTGAGAACAAGGACCCCACTGTCTAGGAGTTGAGCAATTGATGAATTGGGATGAATAATATTTGACACATTAGAAGACCAAAGTGTGTGCTTCTGTGAGTTCAACACCATAAGGTTGCCATCCTCAGATATGGTGGAAACACTAGTAGAATCTTTGAGGGGTTGTTCTCTGTTAGCCACCCAAATGATGGCAGTGGATTCAGATAGATACCACATTCCAATAGCGATTGGTTGAATTTTCTGGGCTAAAGAACCCAAGTTTGAAGTAACCTGAGCTTATTGTTTCAGGGTCTTTGATGGATTGGGATGAGGTAATGTTGGGAAATAGGTCCACCCTTGGTGGATTGGGCCTAAGCCCATTTACATTAGGGGCACTTGTGCGAATAACAGAACTATTGGGTCACAGAGTGTGATTCTTGTGTTTTGTTCAAATTGACAATTTTGGGGGGAACGGTTACGCAACTTCAGTTTATTTTGGCTGGAGTTCCTCATTTTGGTAGAACATGAAAAACAGCCAGATAATCGCTTCCCTTCTCTCTGCTCTTCTCTGGTGCATTTGCTGTGTAACTCATCTGTCTTAGTTCAATCGGTAACCGGACTGTCGCGTGGCTATCTGCAAGAACACGAGTTTTCTCTAGGTATGCTCGAAAACCATCATTGGTATCAGAGCACTTGTTTTAACAAATCATTTCTTTCGCTGCTGCTGTGATTTGTGTAGATTATGTTTATTATTGAAGCATATCGGTTCATTTACTCCAATCCCGTTTTCTTTTCGGTAGTCTGCGTTTTCGTTATATATGTGTGTTCGTTCATTATTTTTGGTAAAGATATATATGCTAGATTACATATATAAGTGAGTATAAGAGTCCTAGAACAAACAAAACACGATAGAAATACTTAGAACGCACCAAGACGGAAATAAAGGACCAAAACCGTTTATGGGTCATTGAAAAACCCTAGATTTAGGTTTCAAAATTAGTCCCATTGCGTAGGGCTCGCAAAAATGAGAAAAATGGCACTCGTTTCGTCAAAAACGGACGTTGGACAGCGAAGTTACGGTGGGAAAAAAAAAAAAAAAAAAAGGTTCGGGTCCATCAAACCCGACCCGTGAACAGTACCGGGTCAGACGGACCCGGTTGGAGGTTGAAGACAACCTCCAGCCTCTCAAAATGTCATCGTTTTGAACTTAAAAAAAACTATAGAGAGGCAGACTGGGCTGGTTTATTGATCCAGCCCAAACAAAAAAAAAAGGAAGAAGAAACTGGGCCGGGTCTAGGATCCAGCCCATATCTTATTTATAAAAAAAAGGTTTTTTTAAAAGAAATTGGGCCGGATCGTGAGATCCGCCCATAACAAAAAAAAGGAGGGAAGGCTGAAGGGGACTGGACTGGGCTGGGTTTGGGATCCGGCCTAGATTTAAAAAAAAGTAAAAAAAAAAAAGAAGCACCACATGGCACGTGCGGCCACATGGCACCACCATCTGACATGTGGCATGGGCCGTCCTCAAGAGGATGGCGCGTGGAGTCCACCTAGCTGGCACGTGTGGCTGGCGGGGATCTCTAATGTGGAGCGTGTAATACACACGCCGCAGCCGAGAGTGGCTAAAGGTCCAATTTTTATTTTTATTTTTCTGGATTTAATCTTCTAAGGGCACGTGAAGGAGCGTGGGCCATCCATTTGAAGTGTGGTCTATTCCTAAAAATCCCTAAAATTGAGATCTTCAGTTTGGTATATAATTTGCCTATTTTGGAGGCATATTTAAATCTCTTTGTGAGTATTTCCGTGCATTTTTAGTATTTTATATGTGATTATAAATTCTAGAATATTTTTAATAATTCATATTATTTAATTCCTAGGTAAAAAGAAAAAAGAGTCAAGGGGATTCAAGCAACACTGAAATTACCAAATATGACATGTTAAACTTTTTATACCTAAACGATGAAGCTCTAGAGCATGATCCTTAAGGCGATGGCTTGGAATCGAAACTTCTTGAAGAAGAAGATCCTGAAGAACTTCATGAGGATGATGCACCTGAGGAGGACCCTGAAGAGGATCCTAATGATCTCGATGAACTCCCTGAAGATGATCCGGAGGAGTTGATGGGAGAACAGCCACCTAAGCAAGCTCAAGTGGTCTACGATGACTCTAGACCAGAGTCGAAATCTATGTTCCCCATTGAAGCCCTCCCAGAGGAGCCTCACTTGGCCATCACAGATTCACTTAATCTTCCCGATGAATCCCAAGTTGAGGAAGGAGAGGAAGTGAAACAACCATGTACCCCTGGTTTAGCTATGAATATAGCTGAAAGAGATGCAGCCAACCTGACAAACATAAAAGGCATAAATGGTGTACTTGCCAGTTACACCCAATATATGACTGATAAGAAGAGTACAGAATTCTACCTTAAAGTCATAATGGAATACATAAGAGCAACAAGGGTTAGAGGCAAACCCAAAGGTAAACCCATAAGGAAATCCTACTGGATTTGGTCTATAAATTTCATTTCTTCCTTTATGACCAAATCAACAAAACTTAGGAAGCTGAGGACAGCAATGTTAGAATATTGCCATGCTCATATCGAATGATGTAATATTTCTATTTGTCTTCCTAATGTTTTTTTTTTTCATTTCAAGGATTTATGTTCATGTATTGTAATTAGACTGAATGTCTTAATTTATCAATGAATTATAGTTTGTGCTATATGATTATTTGTGAATAATCTCTATATGCTTTTTATAAGTGGGAGCTTTTAGAAGATAAGACTTCTAAAGATTATTTTTTTGAAGTGCTTATATAGTATTCTTGATAGAATATAATGATAATTACTAGTATCTGTGTGATGGGAGGTACAAACGTATGCTCCTAATCATAGGTCTTGTAATTTCATTATTTACTAATCGAGGATAATATAGGCACATTACATTGTATGCTTCATTGTGCTATATAATTGAAATGTTCTTTGGTTCAGTTCTCTTTAAAGAGAACATAGATTAATGTGGGATAGATTTGTCACAGAACTAAGAATGGCAACCAAGAATATAATTGCTGAATTGAACAAGGGGGAAAAGCTTAACGGGGACAACTGGAATATCTGGCACCGAAAGGTCTAGTATATCATGGAAGAACAGGATGCAATAGAGCCTCTCACCATTGCTATGGTTGAACCTGAAGCTGTCAATACGGCCCAACACAGGAGAGACCAAGAGGCATATATGACCTAGAAAAAGAAGAATAGCATAGCAAGAATCACGCTTTTGAGCGCCATGGCTGACGACCTGACGTGCGAGTTTGAGTCGTACAAAACTGCATAGGCCATGTGGATAGCATTGAAAGATAAGTTTGGCAGAGTCTCTACGACCAAGCTTAGAAGGTTGACAATTAAATTCGACACCTACAAGCTCAAGCCAAACAATCCTATGAAACAACATCTGAGAGAGATGGCCAACATGATCAAAGAACTTAAGGAAGCAGGCCATGTCCTATCTAATGAATAGCAACTGCATGCTGTTATCAGATTGCTTCCTGCTAGCTGGGAGCACATGAAAGTCAACCTGACCCATAATGAAAACATCGTCACTTTTAACGATGTAGCCAAACACTTGGAGCTGGAGGATAAACGTTTAGAGGCTTACAAGACCTCTGGACAAGCTTATTACACTGAGGATGCCAGTACTTCCCAATCAAGGCCCGATTCCAAGAAGGGCAAGAAGTTCCAAAAGAAAGGGAAGAAGGGTGGTCCTCGACCCAAAAAGGGAAAGAAGCAATTCAAGAAGAAGGGAAAGAAAGGTGAGAAGAAGAAGCTAGACCTGAAGAAGGTCAAATGCTTCACCTGCCAGAGAATAGGCCATTTCGCACATGACTGTTCAAAATAGGCTGAGAGCGAACAGGTATTAATGAATTATGTGAATTCACATGTTTCATATGTTTCTAGTACTGATTTTCTAACAGAACCTGTTTCTTCTTCTTGGATTATAGACTCAAGCTCCACAGACCATGTAACCAGGGATTGAGGATCCTTTATCAAGTACCGTCAGTTGTCGTATCAAAGCAAGTGGCTTTACGTTGGGAATAATGCGAGGATTAAGGTTAAAGGTTTGGGCACCTGCAAATTTACTTAGCGTGGTGGGAAGACCTTGATACTCCATGATGTACTTTACGTTCCTGACATCTGGCGGAACTTGGTTTCTGTATTGTGTCTGTTAGAATTTTGGTTTGATGTAAACTTTCATGGCAAAGTTGCAAACATTTTTAGCAACTCTGTTCTTTATGGTTCAGCTTTCCTGTTTAAGAAGTTCTTTGTTTGGGATATTGTTGGTGATTTCAATAGCAATGAATGCTTTGCTGTTTCTTCGAATAATGTTGACATAAACACCTGGCATGCTAGACTAGGACACATTAATCAAAATAGAATGATTAAACTAGCAAAAGAAGGATTGTTAGGTGCCATTTCCAATATGGAAATGTCACTATGTGAGAATTGTCTAGCTGGTAAGGCAACAAGAAAGCCTTTCGGTAAGGGAAAAAGAGTTGAAAATCCATTGCAATTAATCCATTCTGATATCTGTGGTCCAATGAGTGTGAAGGCAAGACATGGAGCTTGGTATTTTATTACCTTTATTGACGATTTTTCACGATATGGTCATGTCTATTTGATCTCGCATAAGTCTGAAGCTCTTGAGTGCTTCAAACGATACATAAATGAGGTAGAGAATCAAATGGACAGTAAAATTAAAGCAT